AAAAATATATTAATATACAAGAATATTTAAGAATTTATATAAACTTACAAACGCCGCAATGTTGTCTCTTGTGCCTCTGTGAGAATCGTCCATTGTGAGAAGAGTCATATTTGAAATTGTATAAGACAATGAAAGAGATTGTATCAAAGAGTGAGATGATTGGTGATGCAAAACAAGTATCTCACATGCCATATTTATAGGCGAAATCGTATAAGAGTGAATTAATGGCGTGGTTGGTGGTTGTATGCATGCATGATACGTGTCACTCATGCGCCAAGTCAAATTACGCCTACACGCAATTTAGAGAGCATGTGTCATTCAACTTGGCGTGGGACAGGCCTACATGTAGAGTAGGTGGCGGCATAGGTGGAAGGCTAGGGGTAGACTTTTATGCATGCATGTAAGGTGATAGGACATGTAGGGATGTGTTATTTGACTTGGCGCATAAGTGCAAATTTGAAAGGTGTCTCCATCTCAATTAGCGAATTAGTGGTGGAGTATTTTTGTCTTGCTCAAGTTTAATGAAACCTATTTATCCTACATTCATCTAATGTTATCAACACTCAAACATTAAAACATTCAAACATTCAAACACTCAAATACTCAAACCTTCAAACATTCAAACATTCAAACACAATATCCTTTACACCATAATATGTTATCGGTGCATATTTCAACGGTGAAACGTACATTTGTTCCACCTTTAGGTTTCTATTTAGAGACATTGAGAATATCTGATTTTGTTTAAACAGGAAAGCCAATTTTTTGTATTTTAAAAAACGATTAGAGGTCAAACTTGGACGAGGTCCAGTGACACACATCTTCTACCAAAATCTATTTTTATTTTTTTTGAAAAACAAATAATATTTTATAAGATAGAGGTTCAAGATGACGAGGACCTTTAAAACATGTTTTCCACTCATGAGTATTTTGGGTACGACTCGATTGAGTTGTACATTATACTGCGGGATTCTCAGCTGTCACGACCAACTCAGTCACAAATGGTTGATCCTCTCGAAGACAAACAAGCAGAAGTAGATATCGTTGACGAAGAAGAGGAAGATGAAGAGTTAGAGTTTGACGACATGGTCAACGATGATTCTGAAGATGATGGGCTACTTGAAATACCTCCGATAAGATTTACACACCACCTTCACACATGAAAAACTTCAACATGGGCGGAGATGAACCGTCATCTGATGTTTTTTTCAACCCGTATATGTAGTCGGATGAAAATTTAAAAGAGAAAGACAAATTTCGTAATAGAGAAGATTGTATGTGAGCTTTAAAAAAGTTTCACATGCTAAACTCTGTCGATTTTAAGGTAGATCGGGTAAATCCAGAAAGGTACAAGATCAGGTGTGTTCACCCAGATTGTATGTTCAGACTCACTGCATCATACAAGTTGAGAGGTAATTGTTGGGTGATAGGTTCTATGTCCACCCACGCGTGCGTCAATTCTACTCAATCACAAGATCATCGTAAACTAGATTACAATCTAATATGTCAAGAAATCCTACCTCTCATCAGCAACGTCGTCATTGAAGGTGAATACTATAATCTCTTACATCACTACGGTATACAATTATACTCCGTCAAACAGAAAGGTGTGGTTAGCAAAGACCAAAGCGATTGAAAAGGTATATGGAAATTGGGAGGAGTCATACAAAGAACCACTGCGCTACTTGCATGCACTTTTGACGTATTCTCTTGAAACTGTTTATATTATAGAAACATTGTCGGCGTACGCCCCAGATGGTACTCATGTCAACAAAAATGGAATATTCAGTCGACTGTTATGGGCTTTTCAACCTTGCATCACAGGGTTTACGTCATTTAAACCTATTATTCAAATAGATGGAACGTGGTTGTACGGGAAATACAAAGGCACGCTACTGATGGCAGTTGCACAAGATGGCAACAACAACATTTTTCCAATTGCCTTTACTCTAGTCGAGGGAGAGACTGATGGTGCTTGGAGTTTCTTTCTCAAGAATCTCCGAACACACGTGGCTCTTCAACCGGGTCTCTATTTGATCTCTAACAGACATGCATCTACTGAGAGTGCATACAATAATCCTTCAAATGGTTGACATGACCCTCCTTCTACGCATGTCTACTGCATTAGACATATCGTACAAAATTTCACGAGGGAGATCAAAGATAAGGCTCTTAAGAAAACAACTATGAATGCGGGGTATGCATTAACACAATCTTCGTTCAAACACTATCGCAACGAGATCAGATTTTCAAATCCGGATGCAGGTAGGTGGATTGATAATATTCCAGTGGAGAAATTGACAAGTTCATACGACAACGGACATCGATGGGGCCACATGACAACAAATCTTATCGAATCAATGAACGGTGTATTCAAAGGCATATGAAACCTCCTAGCAACCACTTTGGTGAAATCAACATATTTTAGGATGGCTTCGTTGTTTGTCAAAAGAGGTAAAATGTGGAATGCGGTCTTACAATCGGGACAACTATGGAGTGAAAGTTGTATGAAGTATATTAAGGCAAAAAGTGTCAAAGCCAACACCCATCTTGTTATAAGGTTCGACCGACATAGCCACCACTTCATTGTCAAAGAGACAATCGACCACAACGAGGGGCTGTCAAGACAAGAGTATGAGGTTATACTACTATCTTGTTGGTGCGATTGTGGAAAGTTTCAAGTCTTTCGTATGTCTTGCTCTCATGTCATTACGACATGTGCGTATACTCATCAAGATGCATTACTACTTCTATCTCTCATTTACAAGTCTGAAACCTTGCTCAACGTATACAAATGGCTTCCCAATGATAGTGAAACCTGATTATTGGTCTGCATACGACGGGGAAATAGTATGACACAACGATCAAATGCGAAGGAATAAAAAGGATTGTCTCAAAAGCAAGCGTATCACAACTGAAATAGACTCCATTGACAAGGTAGAAAGAAAATGTGGTTTATGTCGTCAGGTCAGACACAATCGAAAAAATTGTCTAACTCGAACTACAAGCTCGACAACATAAAAATTGTATGGAAACCATGTGCACTTTTTAAAGTTCTAAACGTAACGTTTTTTCATTAAGAGCATTATGAAAACACGATAAAACGTTTAAAAAATTACAACCGTAAAAACAATTTTTTTTGAGTCATGCATCATGACACGTCTCTGTTTGTTTTGACTTCCTCCAACCAAGATTGAGTTCTTCCAATTGCAAGTGAGGTGATTATTCTTCTTCTCTAGATCCTTCTAATTTGTTCCCCAAAGTATTCATCTCTAGTGAAAATCATGGGAGATGTCATGACGCAAATAACAGAGAAAAAAAAGAAAAGAGTGTGAAAAAGTGTGAAAAATGATGGAAAAATAGATGTTTTATTTATAGAAAATACAATTGCACGTAGTAGCCATCTCAGATGACACGCCTTCTCTCTTTTTTATAGTGAATGTGTCATCTCACTTGACTAAAATAAAGTGCATGCGTCAAGTAAGATGATGTCTAAGGCAAAAAGGTGAGTGCATGCATCATCTCACTTAACGCTTCCATTGTAGAATTTCTGAAACATGATTATTTACGTAATTTTCTCTAAAACATGATTATTTGAGTATTTTTTTTCAATACTTAATTATTACTAATTCATCGTTGAATCCTAAGCCTAGAATAACATAAGGTCACATCATATGTATTGCACCATGGTCTTCTGCTTTTGTTATGACAGCATTTGCGTTATCTATTGCATAGCAGAACAAGTAACTTGACACCATAGATCCGGCGTGGCCTCAACGTTGACCAATGAGTAAGCATGAGTTTTATCAACAAACACTACATGTTGACGGATAGTGGAATATTGAACTACCCTTTCCGTAATTTCCCTTGGCTGCAATAACATGTAATAAAAACAATATATGTGACCATATTAGGCTATCATCCATATTACATCATTTGGTCGGGAAACTGAAAATCCGTATATGCAGGAACAGTATGCTTTCGCATATATTTCACAATTGATAGCTGACACTGCAACGTAAATAGATTTATCCCAGCTTTTGTCGTAATTCTTTTATCAGATTTAGCTTCTAATCTCATGAAAGAAAGTTGTTGTTATCCGAATGCGGGACATAGTTCTTTCACCATCTTGTGAACCACCTCCTTGCATGACGCATCTTGGCATATACAGAAGGATATATCTTCACATTTCTATGGCATATGAGATAATATCATATTTGCCTGATTCACAAACACCTATCTGATCTTGTAACTGGTAGCATATATATTTAGAACAAGTACAAAATTTAGCCAGTCCAGGAAGTTAAGTCTTACACCCAGACAGATTCATAACAAATTCAATGCGAAATTAGGAAACTTATCTTTGAATGATGGAGTCGACAGTATGAAATTTCTCTCCGAATGTCTTTACTTTAGTATTGACATTTCGTCGAACTTTATATGTGCATAATTATTGTCTGACCATAACTTGTCCGGCTTAAGTAACAGCTATTCCAAAGGAGTTAGCCCCTGTCATCACATTCAGATATTAAATAAAAGTATTGCAATTCCCTTCAGTTTCAATTCATTCATATAGAGACTCATATTATTCATTCCTCATGTTCAAATTCACCCGCAGACAACAAGATTATAAGAATAACACAATAGTAATTTGAAAAAGGCAACAGGTAAAGCGACTCATCTTTCGATGGGCTTTGCGGTTCACTTCTGGTTCCGATTGGGATACACCGACTTGCTGTTTGAGAGAGTTCATAGCCCCAAAACATGATACACACCCCTTGTAATACTATTGGTAATAGGCGCTTAGTAGTTCGAAACTGCTGGCCTTGTGACGTTTGTGGTCCACATAATTAGCAGGATCGGGTTTACTCCCGAAACTTAAACCTGATTGCCTGACTATTAAAGAAACATCAAGTCAAAACCGAAATGTTAGCGCACAGTTTGATTACCACATACATATTTGAGTAAAAGTTAAATAAGAGTATCAAAGTAAACATCGGCTATATAATCGAGCGAATTTGCATTGGGTGTATCCGATCTGGTTCAGGGGTTTGAATCATGGGGAGTTCCATTGCCAATTTGAAGAAAAACCCAAACGACTGGCTTTCAACCTGGAGGCGAGTCCTTCCCCTCCATTCGCTGTGATTTTTCGCCGCTTCGCCGGCTCGATGGGACTCACCGATCCCCGGCTTGGGCGAGGTCGCGGATGACTTACACTGTAGCGTCGAGACTCTAAGGTGAAAGATGTTGTTCGTGGCGTAGAGGATGTGAACGGCGGCCGATCTCGATCCTGGTGGCACAATGATAATGATAATGAGATCTTGTGGAAAACAGAAGTGAGAGATCAAAGCCTCCTTCAACGAGACGCCAAAGCCTATGTTGCTCTGGTCTTGTTTAGGTTGTTGATAGTTGTATAGAGGCAAACCGTACATCCAGTAGTAGTTCCACCTTAGGTGTATACCATGATATTGGACAGATCAATTCATTCATTGGCGATGTTCCCTATCTTGAGGCCCAGGTAAGTTTTACTAGGATTCTACGGTGGAAGTTAAATTTTGTTACGTATAAAAAATAAACGGTTAGTTTCTCCATAGAAATAGGAAGAACCTCAAAAGTAGATTATTGTAGTGATTTTGGGGGGATTTGGATGTTACGATAGTGATTCCTATTGACCCAAGATAGGTATCTCGCTTATCCCTCTTGCGGGAGCCCATCTAAGAGTTTATCGTATGTCTGCTTATGTGTGTGACAACCCTCCTTTTCCATTCTCCAAGTATCTTTTATATAGGTTCATCCTTGGCCTAATGGTCACTAAGTCATTCTATAACGTTCGTAACCGCCTATAATGGTTTGTAACGTTCATATTCAACCAAGTGTAATTGCCTCATCATTGGTTCGTAACCGCTATCTATTAAGTTTTGCAACTGAACCGGATAACCAACCAACCCGGCCAGCACAACCCGGTCTGGCATAACTAGGCCAACCAACCCGGCTAGCACAACCCGACCTGGCACAACTAGGAAAGCACAACCCGGCCAACACAACCCGACCTGACATAACTAGGCAAGCACAACCCGACCTGACACAACTAGGCAAGCACAAATAGGCCAGCACAACCCGACCAACACAGCTAGGCCAACACAACTAGGGAAGGCAGCCAGGCCACGACCATTCGACTAGGCTATAATTAGTCGGCCTCTATCACTTTAGTATTGATCGACATATCTAGTTGTATTTACTCGGCTTAGAGAGTTATGTGATGTATAACAAGGCTAAACCTTCAATCCTACTTTGAAAAACAACATTAATGTCAATTTTGACTTCGAATATGCTAGTTTAAAAACTATATTGTTGATCATCATGAAAAAACCACTAAGGAAGTTTCCGACCGGAGGCACATTGCTTTTCTGACCGTTTGGTCTTCTTACTTCTTCTTATGTTCAAGCTTTTTACAAATAGCTAAGAAATATGTTCGCTTAGCAACCCAGCTCCATGAAGGTCAAAACATATGTCTGGGAAAACTACTACTGGCTAATCTATACTAAGCATTAGGCATTGCTTCCTACAAATTGAAACATCTTCCTGAAACTGACAAAAAATACCTTCCTCTAGACTCTTGTGGCTTCTACAACTTTGGTTAAATTGGAGATTGTTATTTTGAAGGCTCTGATGATGGAAAACAATGCTAGAAGCATTGAAGGTACTAGGTTTGCGCTAATCACCCCCAATGACACCCCTTCTGAAAGAACCTTTATGAAATACATTTTCATGTATCTCGACACCATAATTTTCATTTCGAATATGGAACCTTTCGTGGATCGATGTGTTAGACCTGACTGATTTAGGAGAAGATTTCATTGTGTTACTCTCGTTGTTATTATCGAAGCAAATGCAATTTGAGCAAACTATTTAACCAAATCACTTCTGTAGCGGTAGAAATGTTGAGACTAAGCCATTGGATTGACTTGACTCGCACAGATTAAATAAAAATTGTCACCGCGCTTTATTATTTTCGAAGGAATGGGAAAAGAGCAAATAACCCAAAAAGAGGGGGAGAGAATCTAAATCCGGGGGTTGGTTATGCAAAGGGAATGTATTAGCATCCTAAACATCTACGGTACTCCGCATGAACCTCTTTAAAAATTTATGTATTTTGGCTATAAATGTTGTATAAAAAAATGGATTATGGAGATGAGAAAAAGAAGTATTTTTTTATGATTTTTGCACCCGCCGTGATTGTAAACCTTTAGTGTATACGTACCACCTTCCGTGCAATAGGGGATTAGGATACACGTAGTTTACCTTTAAAATTTTTAAAACACAAGCGTGTTGGCTTAATTTTAAAAGACATGACATCATCGTCTTATCCGAGTGGAAAATATACTTACCACCCACAATTATGAGAAAGGAGAATTTGCATCATCTTAAAGTGGAGGATATGGCTTAGATTTTAAAAATCAACAAAGTTTCGCTTAACACCCAAGTGGAAAATATCTCACTTCACTACATATCATAGAAGTATAGTAGTTCGCATCACTACAAGGATTGACAATAGTCTAATCTTTTGAGAAAATTTTAAAGTAAAAAGCCAAAGTGGCAAAATGGTTTGAATGAGATTGATTGACTTTTAGTCTTCTCACAAAAATGTCAAGGTATTATTAAGTTTATTAAAGTTTGATTAAGAAAATATTTCGAAAATACATGGACATAAGTCTAAGTTTATTATGAAAGTGGTTCAAGTTAAAAAACAAGAAGAGTTTTCAAAAGGAGGGAGAAGATTTTTGAAATTAAAGAAGATGGGAGGAGATGAAGGGACTATCCTAAGGCATAAAGTAAAAGCTAGGGGAAAGGAACCGTCTAACCAACAAGAAGCCAACACTTGACATAATGAGTCAATGTAGAATTCCCATCCTTTGAATTGAAACCAAGCAAGCAAAGATATTAAACCTCTTAAGAAACCAAACTTCAATTGCATTAAGTCTTCACAAAAATTGGGCAGAGTAACGGCTGTATATAGATGAATTCCAGATTACAGACATAGCATATAATCACAATAACCTGCACACAAAATAAATAAATAAGCCAATGTTTTGGGGTAAACCCCAAGAACTCCAGACAAAATAACAGTTGAGGTCACAAGGTCTCAAGGTAGGTTAAGGTCTTTACTCTTAAGTCCAAGAAGTCCACAATCTCCATAATGCCAATGATAGTAACCAAGTAGTCCAAGTAACATTAAAGTTTTTTAGGGTTCAAGTTGATTATTAAGTATCTTCAAAAAAGAAATAAAAAGCTCAAATGAGCAAAATAAAAATGACATAAAAAAAAGCTCAAATGAGCAAAGATGAAAATAACATGAAATGTAAATGCTAAAATAAATGCGCTTAAAGTAAAAGCATAAAGTAAAAGCACAAAATAAAGTCAATTGTTAGAAATTAGAGGTTAGTTGAATGACCATCTTGAAACTTGCATTTGAAACTCATTAGAAGATTGATAAAATTAAAGCCTCTCAACAACAAGTTTCATTTGCTTTTTGTCAAGTATATCATCCATTCAAAATTCTCAAGGCAACAATAAATGATCAATGATGTTTAAGTGATTCACTTTGACCAAAGTTTATGAAGATTCATTAGAGGATTGATAAGACCAAAGCCTCCTAACAATTAATCTCAAAGTTATTGGATCAAAGGATTCAAATCAACATACTTGGGCTTACAAACATGGGTTTGGGCCACGAATGATCATTTCTTGAATCGGGACAAAATTTAACGCTATGTTAAACAATCGTAAGTGGAATTATATAGAAGCCACACCTATTTTGAGGCCGATCAACAATAATTTATGTGTCCTATGCTTGGATAGATGATATGTATATCATCATCTAACAACATATGACACAATAAGAAGGGAATAAGATGAAGAGGGATTGGAGAATAATTAAACCACATTTGAACCAAAAAAATTAATCAAACTATTATTAAAATTATCCATCCATTTTTATAGAGTTAGACTCACGATCAAAATTTCATAGTCCAAGATCAACTAGAATATATACAAAAAATAAAATTGTATTTAAAATAAAGAAAAAGGTTTTTTAAAAATGATTTTAAAATGAAAATAAGAGGGGAAGTGGCAATTATATTCAAATCAACCAAGAAAAATCAAATGAGACCATAGGAAAATCAGAAATATACTCAAATATTTATATAAAATTTTTGGTAATTTTTTAAAGTCAGAAACTATTTTTAAACTAATTAAAATTGCTCAAATAAATGAAAAAAAAAATCAAAAATAGGAGAATTCAAAATAAAATTCTAAAAAAAATTCGGAAGGTCAGAAATAATGGAAATGATGTTGATGAATTTTTTCAGAATTTAAAAATGTTCAAAAGTATTTTTTAACTAATTAAAAACAAACCAAAACAAAGAAAAATTATAAAAAATATCAAATATAAAAATAAAATTATGAAAAAATAAAATTCAGAAAGATAATATTTGGAAATATTTTTGTGAGTTTTTTCATAATTTTTGAATTAGAAATGAATCTTCTATGATTTTTTGAAGTTTAAAACAATTTAAATATAAAAATAAGAAATAAAAAATAAAGTCAAAAAAATGTGGACCAATGGATGAGAGTCAAAATACATTAGTAAGCTAATCCAATGGATCAGACGCGCTGTGCATATCATGGTCTTTAGTGGAATAAACACATGATCATTAACTAAATCAGATTTTTGAAAAATAAGTGTGGCACACTTTCATTGGTTGATAGATGACACATTGGTCATCTTCAACCTCCAGCCAACGAAATCTGCAGGTTTCAGAAACTGTAAAATTAGAAGACGAGACCGGTACCATTTGCTCCGTCTCTTCAAGACGATTCCAATGGTACTTTGCGAAAAATTTATATAAATTGTAGCTCAGTCATTTTGGAAGAGAAGTTTTGAAAAGGGATTTGAAATTTCATGGTCAAAATGTACTTCCAATTGAAAACAATTGTTGCGACTAGAATCAGGATGATGAGAGCTTCATAATAGTATCAAAGTTTGAGAGAATTGGTGAAGGAATCTACCTATTGAAGTTAAGTTGAAGACTCTGAAACTTGACTTGGCTAGCACGATTCAGGGAGTTTTAAAGCTTAATTCTTCTTTTGTTAGCTTCAGTGAGGTTCAAGGAAGATGAATTGACAAAGAAAAATGATTGAGAAAGGTTGTAGGAGCAAATTCGAAGTTGCAGAAAATTTGGTTCAAGAGGGAGTTTGACAGGGTTATTCTGGCTCTCTAAGCTTGAGAAAATGAATGAGGTATGACCCTCTATTTATAGGGAAGCTGATTGAATGTTCAAGCTTATGAAATGGTGAAATTTGGAGGGAAATCGTGTGAACCGAATACACGAGTAAGGTGTGATCTATTTTGCATCAAAACTCATCCAGTCCTTGCGTTTTAAGGCTCTATTCCACTTTGGCAAGTTGGTTAAACATGTTTAGACCAAAAACGCGTGCTAATTTGATGTTTAGAAGCCAAAACATGAATTTCAAATTTTGACTTATGAATTTCAGTTTCAAGTTACCAAATTCAAATCAATGACATTCTCAGCTCAAGGAGTCTTAGGACATGATTCTTAAAGCTTTAGAAAGATGAGATTACAAGCTTTACAATATGCAAAGAATGGCATCAAATGGGTGCTTGAGCTGAAAATTATAATGAGTCAAAGTTGAGAAAAAGAGGTTGACTTTCTATACTTAGAATTCTAAGTTTTTTCATCAAAAATGACTTATAATGTCTTGCATCCAAACATGCCCTTCCACTTGAAATTTGTTGTTGACTAAAAAAGATGGCATGAATTAGATCTCTTGAATGGCATTTTGAGACTTGAACCATTCAAAAAATATAAAAATGGAGAGAGTTGTGACTTGTTGAAGTTGGCAAAAATTCATGAAATGACCTATAATCTTTTGCATCCTTAGGGCATCTTCCATCCATTTTCACACTTTGCACTTAAAATAATGGTTGAATTCCATATCTTTAAGATCATTGTGGAAAAATAATTGGCTCAAAGAGA